GCCGAAAACTAAAAAATAAATATTAAAAATTCTCTCTCTCTTAAAAAAAAAAAAAAAAAGAAAGAAAGAAAGAACTGCCTTGGATTTGGGGAAGACCAATCAAAATCTAGTACAGGCTGAATATCCCTTATATGAAATGCCTGGGACAAGAAGTATTTCAGATTTCAGAGTTTTATCTGGATTTCAGAATATCCACAGACTTTAAGGTAGACATAGCTAATAGGAAAATTTGATATCCCAAATGCTACAAAATCCAAACCTTTTTGGACATTAGGTTGGTGATCAAAAAGTTTCAGATCTTAGAGCATTTTGTTCTTAAAGTGCTAGTGATTTAACTCAGGGCTTTGAGCAATGCTAAGTAAGTGCTTTACCATTGAACATTCTCAATCGTGAATTTTGGATTTTTTAGAACATGCTCATCTGCTCTACAAAAATGATCTATGGCTAACAGGTACTCCAGAAGAGGCATGAAGTCGCTCAGTTAATCAGACTAGCAACATCATCCAAATGCAATTATCAAAGAACCCTGTATTCTCACAAACTCAATTTCTAGGAAAACTTGTTCATTTATGCTCAGCATAATTCCTGAAAAGCATCTAAATCAAAAGTACTGAGACTTGGAACAAATTACTTAATACCTGAGACTCGATGCCCAAATTCTTCTGAGCATTGATTCTAAGAGCCAATCTCTTAGCAATTTCTAATTTCTCAGCATTTCCTGCAGTCGGAGCAGGAACACTAGATGTTCCAGGAGCAGCCATATCCTTTACTCTCTTCTTTGAATTAAACATGCTTTCAATTTGTTCATCAATCTAGACCAAGGAAATACAGGAAGGATTAGTAAAAACTAGATTAGAAATGCCAATTTAATTTCTACAAAACGAGCGAGAAACTGTTCCACCAAAAAGATAAAATCAGACATTTATCTATATCTATATCTATATATCTATGTGGGGGGTGAGGGTGTTGCTGGGGGATTGAACCCATGGCCTTGTGCAGCTATTTATTAAAGGGATACATTTCATTTAAATAATCTGTTGTCTATTGTGAAAGACAGACATACAGTAAGTAAGCAAGCAAGCAAGAAGAGATACAAGGGCTGGGGATATAGCTCAGTTGGTAAAGTGCTTGCCTCGCATGCACAAGGTCCAGGGTTCAATCCTTAGCACCACCCTCTCCCCCACCCCCAGAGAGAGAGAGAGAGAGAGAGATACAATGCTGTATGAACCATTTAATCAGACTTCTAAGCAGTCCAGAAAACATTTAGTCTAGTAAATGAGGAAACATGTGCTGCCAATACAAAAATAGTCCTTATGATGCAGCTGAGTTATTCCAGGGTTTAGACCTTAAGGACAAATTATAATGCAAAGAGGCTAGAAGAAGTGCTATAACTCATATCCAGAAGACAAGTAAAAATGTAGTCAATAATTCTCAGAGTATGTCATGACTTGCTCTGCAGGCAAGGTGTCCAGTCCTAACACCTAAAATGCAATTGGATTTGCTTTAAAAACTGGATAACACAATCAGAAAAAAGGGCTTTATTCTTCCGAATCAATGAAGAAAAGAAATAAAGACTGTTTTCCCCATAAAGGTTTAAGAGCAGTGCTGAAGGCCTCAGCGCTCCAGAACTCACATGAGCCCTCATGCAATGCACTTTCTTTTCTCTTTGAGACAGGGTCGTTGTCCAGCCTTGGCTACAACTCATGGGCTCAAGTGATCCACATGCCTAGGAGTCCTGAATAGTTGGGACTACAGGCACCAGCCATCATGCTTGGTTATTGCACTTTTTTAAAAAGCCTGCCTTTTGCCCAACAATGACTGATGGCACTGATTAGAAACACAAATTCCCTCATAAATCCATGTTAGATTAATAAGGCTTTATCTTCTCAATCTCAAATGCAGAGAAAAGTTTCTCTGAGGTTAAAGATATATAAGGTTAATTTAGAAAGACCTTTTACTGAAATAGTCAATAGCTTTTCATTATCTATGCAAAAATTTTAATTTTTTTTGTTTTATTAAATATCTCATCTTTATTGAATGTACTAAAAAGAAAATAATGACTGGGGCAGATAGGAGAAAAATGAACCCGAGATCATCAAGGATAAATCAGAAGTCTAAACAAGTAGGAGAAAGCAAATATAAAATTAAGACAACTTCTTACTTTTATATCTTCTACTCCTATGCTGTTCTCAGGCTCCTCTCTGAGCACAGCTTTTCAGTGAATTCACCACCCTGGAGAGATGTGGTGGGGCTTTCACAGCTAGTCTTCTAGGAGTCCTAGATCCATCTCAACTTTATTTAATTATTTTTTATTGGTTATTCAAAACATTACAAAGATTGCAGAATCACATCGGTTATACATCCACATTTTTACATAAATGCCATAATAGTAACTGTTGTATTCTGCTACCTTTCCTATCCTCTACTATCCCTTCCCCTCCCATCTTCTCTCTCTACCCCATCAATTGTAATTCATTTCTCTCCTTATTTTTTCCCATTCCCCTCACAACCTCTTATATGTAATTTTGTATAACAATGAGGGTCTCCTTCCATTTCCATGCAATATCCCTTTTCTCTCCCTTTCCCTCCCACCTCATGACTCTGTTTAATGTTAATCTTTTCCTCCTGCTCTTCCTCCCTGCTCTGTTCTTAGTTGCTCTCATTATATCAAAGAAGACATTTGGCATTGTTTTTTAGGGATTGGCTAGCTTCACTTAGCATAATCTGCTCTAATGCCATCCATTTCCCTGCAAATTCCATGATTTTGTCATTTCTTAGTGCTGTGTAGTACTCCATTGTGTATAAATGCCACATTTTTTTTATCCATTCATCTATTGAGGGGCATCGGGGTTGGTTCCAGTCTAGCTATTGTGAATTGTGCTGCTATGAACATCAATGTGGCAGTATCCCTGTAGTACCAAAAATTTTAATCATCAACTAGTTTTAAACCTAACATTTGGCTTAGTAAAGCTGTTTTAAATTAAACAGCACATATGATATAAAAATCTAAACAAATATGTTAAATCATGAATGTAGAATGTGGATGGTCCTTTATCAATAGGAATGATTTTATTTTGGGCTTTACTAACTTTTTTTCTCTTAAGTTCTATATTACTTTAATGATCAAAGAAACAATCAAATATTTAATCACAAGATTTTTAAAACTGTTAAAAAGTAATATAAAAAAGTAATAAGAGATGGTCTGAAAATACAGCTACAAATTATTTAAGAAGTAAAGCCTCCCCTTGAGTGTGAGATGAACTCAGTGACTTCTAATAGAAGAAAATGGAAGTGACAGTGTGTAGCTTCAAAGACTAGTCATAAAAGGCACTAAAGCTTCCTCTCCTCTTTCTTGGATCATTCTCTATGGAGGAAGCCAGCTGCCTGAGGACACACAGACAGAGAAGAGAACAAAGGCATCCTGTAAATATCAAAGTGAGTGAGCCATCATAGAAGCCTCAGTCAAACCATCAGGGGACTGGGCCAACCACCTGGCTGCAACCCATGAAAGTCCAAGCCAGAAGTAGTTGGCTAAACACCCATTCCTACCTGTCAGGAACTATGAGATAATAACTGCTTATTATTTTAACCTGCTAAGTTTTGTATTGATTTCTTACACAGTAATAGGTAAGCAAAAATGGATTTTTTTTTTTTAAATTTTGAGATAGTAGGTAAACTAAAAAGAAATGACCTTGGGATAATGGGAGAGCTGGGCTCTGGTCCTGGTTAGGCTTACTTCCTTGGGTAGATCTAGATCAAATACCTTCTTTTTTTAGTACTGAGGTTTGAGCTCA